CTGCTCTTTGGCTCCTCTGCAATCAATGACTGGATAGTCAGAATGCAGGAAGCCCCAATAGATTTCCAATTCCTCTCTGAGAACTACGTTGGCCAACAGCGGCGCTCTGAGTCTCAGATGCAGAACTGCAAGAAGTGCCTGGATCTAGGTTTTTAAAAAGAAATAACCTGAAACCTCCTACAGATAATAATGCAATCTCTTTTAAATTGCAGATTTTTAGTTCTTGGTAGTTTTGCAATAGGTAAAGATGTTTTTGTCAGGGTTGTCTTGAGACAATATATGACTAACAGAGGAAAAAAGTATAGGATGAATATAAATATTTTCAATTATTCTGTCTATAGTATTACAACAATATTCTTATCTGTCAGATTGTTTTCAGATTTTTTAAAAAAAAGATCTGGTACAATATTGTCATCTGTTTTCAGTGACAGCTTTCAGAAATATATATACAACTTCCCTAAATCAATACGGATGTTACTTTAAGTTCCCTGGAAATGTTTAAAGATATTATGAAACTCATTGTAGTTATAGTAGAATTTTATAGTAGGAGATATTATTTGAATGGGAAAGCATTTTTAAATGGTAACTAACATCCCCCATTATCCCCTAAATCCTTATAGTTTATATTAATATAAACCCTAAGGCAGAATCTTCAGGTATTTCGTTGGATAAGGAGGCAAGAATCAGTTCAGATGCATTTGTCATCCATGTCTAATAGCTTTGTTTCAACATTACAATTAACATAGCTTTTTCTAACCTTAGTTCATTCTGAGCTTTTGCTTACACTTCCAGGCTATCTGTCTGACTTTGTGACCTAGCTCTCTTTTCATTTCCTTTACGGTATACACTCTTTTTTTGTGTTCAGATCTTCAGTAAGCTTTTTCTGTAGCCATACTGGCTTCTTCTGGTGTCCTGCATTTTTTTTTCATAGTGGAATTGTTTGCAATTCTGTTTTTAATATCTCCTCCTTTAGGAACTTCTCCTGTCTTGGCTCCTTTTCCTTCTAGCTTCCCATGCCATGCAATTCTATTTATCCTTGCTCTGACTATGGTTAGCTTTAGTTTCCCTTAAAATCAAGAACATAAACATTACATGGTAATTCTCATGATGTCCTGCTATGCCCACTTCCTCAATTAAGCCTTTTCTTAATGGACTTATGGATTAGAATCTTGAACCATCGTCCACTCTCTGGTGAAATTCGTCAGCAAAACAATCAGAAATGTCCTGGAAGGATCATATTGGTTGGGTCTCCCAATGGTTGTTGGGAGATTTCCCATTCATATGACTTTATGACTCTGAAAAATCTAGAGTTTGCTTTTGGAAGACATCATCCATATATTCTCCTTGTTTTTTGTGGGTGATAAGAGATGATATTATCTGGATAAAAGTAAACAGAGGAACACATAAAAGCAGTACTATTGTTGTTAGTACTGCTGTTATGTATTTCTCTGTTTACTTTAACCCAGATACTTTCCTATAACATTGACCAATTCATTCATTCTGATTTCTGAGCAGGAATGGATATTTTTAACATACAATGCAATTCCTCCCTGCTTTCTATAGCTTTTATTCCTTTTGAACAAACGGTATCCTTCAGTTGCTATATTCCAGTCACTGAAATTATTCCACTGGGTCTCCATTATACCTATTAAATAATATTTGCCTTTCTGTTTTAAGGGCTCAGATTCAGTTTATTTCCAATACTCTGGGCATTAGTGTATAGAAAATGAGATTTTCACTTCAATTTCCCACAAGATTCAGTTTAAGGTCTCCTAACCAAGTTGCCATGCTTTGGCCAAACACATTTTTGCCAATCCTTGTAAGGTACAACCTATTTTGTGCTAGCAGTCCACCACCTAGATAATTCAGACCATGTTTCCAGAAATCAAATCTCTTCTATTGATAACATTTGCAGAGTCCATCATTGACCTGAAGAATTCCTTCCCCTTCCAGTCCTCTTCCACAGACTAGAAAAATGGATGAGAATACCTCTTGAATCCCCAAGGTTTTGAGCTTCCTTCTGAAATTTTCAGTTTGTGGTGATTCAGTTGTCGCTGTTCTTTAGAGTCTCATTTGTATCAGCAAGAAAGGATAATTGTCAATGGACTTGATACATCTTGAAAATTGTTCAGTCATATCCTTGCTCCTGACAAAGCACATACTTCATGAGCAGCTATGTCTGGTCAGCATACATTTGTTTTAATTCCTCGTGCATCTTTTATAGAACTATTTGGGTAGTGGTTGTCCCAATATTTCTGAAAGCATAATTTATATCATGATTGATTCCTTCATCCAGATTATTGGATTTTATTGGATTTTATTGTTCAGGCTATGGATTCTTTTAGGATATCCTCATTGACACTTACGTTGTAAACTAGTAAACTGTCATTTAAATCTAGAATAATTATTTAGAATTGCACAGCAACATATAGGCAGATTACCCTCATTAATAGCTATAATTATAAATGGATTCCCCTTTATTGTGCAAAGAATTTTCCAAAAACAGATTAGTATTTATGACACCTAGACGTTTGGCTTAACATCTAGAGAAAAATAGTACAGCCTGGAATATATCATTGTGCAATAAACTTAAACTCTTTTCTGAATTATGAAAGCAGTCAAAAGAAACTTGAATCCAGATTTTACTGATACTTTGAGTTCCCTTACTGAAAATGGGGAGCATTATCATTATTTATATCTAATCCTGCTTCAACTCCACAGGCTGCTATGGAAAAGGCATACTTCCTAGGTCCCACTAGATGGCAGCATTTAAGGGGACATGGAACATGCCCACTCTATCAGTCCTGGTGCGGCAAGCAGATAACCTTAGGGGGAGGCAGTCCCACAATAACCTGGCCTCATTGTGTATTCAGCACCTTGAACTGTACCTAGGAAAAAAAAGGGAGCCGGTGCAGCACACACAGCGGCAGCATAATACGAGCAAACAGGGGTGCCCCAACACTGTGCATGCCACCACATTCTGGACCAGTTGTAACTTCCTGGTGGTCTTCAAGGGCAGCCCCATGTAGAGGTGTTTCAGTAGTCCAACCAGGAAGTGACCAAGGCATGAGTGACCATGAGCAAGGCCTCCCTGTCGAGGAATGGGTGCAATTGGTACACAAGATGAATCTTTGCAAAGACCACCCTAGCTACAGCTGTCACACTCCTCAAGCAGGAGCCATGAGTCCAGGAGGACCCTCAAATTGTGCACCAACTGTGTCCATGGAAGTGAAACCCTGTCAAGAATTAAAGATAACACTTTAGCAGACCCTGGGGGGCTATGAAGTTATGAATCTCAGCTGTGGCCTGGGTTAGATTCATTCTATGTACAGCAAGCCATAGCTGATAAGCTAAGGCATTATCCAGGCTGAAAAGCTAAGGGTTATAAACCCACAATTCTTATCAATAAAGTGGCACCCATTCCTTAATTTTAACAATAGGTGCCACCTCTTCATTCAAGTCTTTGTGGGCAATATTGCAGGTAAAATAGAGCCTTTGGTTGTATTTCTCAGGATGATAGGAAGCATCTCACAATGGAAAAGAAGCTCAAAATCCCTTCTTTATTTTACCACCCAAAATGAATCTAACAATGTTACAGCTAAAATACCAAACTTTGCTAATTTCTTCAAGAAATGTGATAGTTTCACAAATAGGTCCAATACATTATCACAGCTAGTAAAAATCTGGCTTACTTCACTATTCCCATTAGAAAAGAAGTACTCTGTTCTGGTGGGATTTTAAATGGATTTTTAATCTATGTAAAATGTCATAATGTCATAGAGCAGAATTCCAAGTACTGTAATGTTTCTTTTAGAGGGGTATTTTTATTAGAAAAAAATGAACACCAACCAGTTTTTGTTTGAAGAAAATATACCTGTATTAATGGAAGCAGATTGCCCACATTTAGCTACAATGGAACTTACAGGGAAATTCTTTTTCATCCCTTCCTCTCAGATTGAGGTCTCAGTGACCAACTTCAGTGAGAGTCACATTTCTACTACAACCAGAGTATTTGTCCACAAATTAACATGCAATGTTATGTGATGCTTAAATATTTCTGTGGTGCCAGACTTCCTCAGCCAATTCCTCAGGTCATTGTTGAGAATTCTGGGAGTAGCTCCACACATTTAGAAGACACTCAATTATACCTTCAACTACAGAAGCTCATTGGGTGACTTTGGACCAGCCTCCTTCTGTCAGCCCAACATCACAGCATGATTGTAGTGGGGAAGTATAGGAGGAATGAGCATTATATACATGACCTTAAGCTCCTGAAGGAATGGCAGAATAGAAAACCAATACATGAGGAAATTAGCCAGCCTTATCATAGCAAAAGGATAATGAAAACAATAGCAGGTAGATTTTTATAATGGACATAACATTCTGGATTCCTAAGGGAGATCCTTTGTATTTGGTGGAGCAATATTTATTTATTTTACTTATTTATTTATATATCACATTTATATAGCCACCTATCTCACACAAAGCGATTCTGGGCTATATGTTCATGTCAACAATATGAGCATTATCCCAACAGATTTCAGAACAAAGCTGAAAGATCTCAGTAGAGTAAAAAGAAAACGTTAGAACATTGGGTATTAAAGTTCATTAGAGAGAGCAGAGTGAAAGGAAATCACTGTTGAGATAAATGAGGGCTTATAGGAACACATCATTAATCTAAAATATTTAACTCACCTTGACTAAGATTTGCTCATCATTCTTCAAATGTAAATCC